TATACGCATATCAGGTTTGTCCATATCCGATTTTTTCTGCTTAGTATGATCGATATTCTATTGTGAACATGCTTATCGGCATACATGCGCTTATGTTCGACTACAAATTGGTACGAAAAGATCAGTCTGGACAGGTGGAAAACACTGTTGACATTTGGATAGTTTATCGATGTAAAATCATTCATTCCTTGCAAGTTATTACATAATGTAAAAGAGTAGTCACTTGAGTGAATAACATACGTTCGACCACGAAGGCTCTAATATGTTGCACAAGTGGTTTGCTTTTTGAAAAGTTAGCTCATGCCAAAAGCTTGGATTACTGGAATACTGTTCATTTATAATCATCAATCTTCAAGTCGGTTTCTACAACTTCTCGACAACAGCGTTTCTCAACAGTGCGGTTCATTACATAACATCACTTTTCGAAACGATAACCTAAACAGTGGTGTTCCGATTTGATTTAGCTGTTTACGAAGCTGATGGTAGTTCGGCATAAGTTTTGGGCCCAAAGAATAGCATCATGCAGTCTCCAGCAAGCTATTTTTCATCTGCTAATCATATAAGGAGAGGAATATAGCGAGAACATGTTCGTTGTGCAAGACTTCTTTTCTTTTGCAGAATAATGACACAGTAATTTATCCTCGGCTCAAAGGTGACCGTAACTGGCGAAAATTAGGCTCGTATGGAGTACTAACACATTAGGAGGCATCAGTTCCCGTTCCTAAAAACACGATTAGTTTTCTCGTAAACCGTGCCATTAAGAGGAGCCATGTCTATTGTCAGTATCTTCTCTTTCCTAAAAACTAGTCTTCCTAGAAGTGGCGTGCTTCTGATAGCAGTTCTCCAATTAATTCTGTTCCCGTTTCGTACTCCCATTCCGAACTCCCTTATCTTGTATCCATTTCCATTGCCTGTTGCTAATCTGCCATTGGCAATTCGAATAACGTATTTGTAGAATGAGTTTTTGCTGTCAATAATCCCTTAAAACTTAATGTAAACTATTCCATTTACTCCCATCAACTGCGCCGATTGACAAGTGGCAGATGGTGATACTGGCCTGCTATGGTGCGAGTGTCGAAGATGAATATTACCTAGGCGCACTAATAGGTTTTCGTACGAAGTAATTCGATTGGAGACAAATAAGTGCGCAACAAAGCCGACCTCAATGTGACCGGCAGCCTTGAAAAGCATATCGAAAAAGGTGCGTGAGGGAACCGTTCCGATGTCATAAGTACCATAAGCAGCCTCCATGTCGCTCCGTGTGTGTGCTCGTTTTATACGTCTCCAATCACGTCTTCCTACTCCAAATTTGATCGCCTTCACCGATTGACTATCCACTTCACTTCGTTTACGAGAGCATAGAACATCTGAGGTACAAAAGCAGGAATTTTGCTTAATTGCTGCTTTGTGGAGCTTTGAAATTGGTCTCACCGGAGTTGGACCTAGTCGAGGTCGTTACCCTACCTAATATTCTTCGGCCCATGTGGACTAGGAAGAGATTTGTCACCTTGCGACTATTCGATATCAAGACGATGGTGATCTGTGGTGCGCAGTTTACTCTTGGCTGGCTTTCTAAGTAAAAACGTCGGACTCCGTTATAGTTCTAGAGAATCTGCCAAAAGTATGGACCGCCTCCTGTACATTGCCTTCCGATAGTCAGAGAATCTCCCAATCAGGGTGAAGGCGTTAACCTTCAAAAGGCTTATAACATAATAGCTCTTACATGTTCTAGGTAAACTCCTACCCATTTTCAACATTAAACTACCTGAAAGACAGACTGTCTCAATATATTTTATCTTGATTATGCAGAATCGGCGAAGTTGTAAGGTTTATTCTAACGGAACTCTTACGTTATCTCCACAGTGTTTGAGGATTTTGATAGAGACGTACTTTCAGTTATATTTGAAATGTCAGTTACCATTCGATAGCCAAAATTAAGTGAATTTTAATGATACATTTCATGTTTCTAATGACTTGTTTCTTGCGGTGTAAGCAGACGATGTGAAATTTGATTTCACATTTGAGAATTTTTCGCCGTTTCAAAGTCTTTTCTACAAACAATCGATAATCAGTCGACGGAACAAATCTCGATAATTTCAAAAATGTAGTTGGTTTTTGAAATGAACTCTTTAAGGCGTTGTAACAGTCAAAAGAAGATTGGATTCCGCACTCCAAATGGAACATCTCACAACATCAGTTCCAATCCTCCGCGCTTATTGCAACATAATGATGAGAACTAATCTTCTCAAACTGCCAGCGCTCTTATGAGTCCGTCTTGAAAAACGGTTACAATTTTGAAGTTGATGAGATTTGCGCTATTGAATGATTGTTGAATCTCGAGCGGAAAAGCTTTGTTCAACGAAAAATGCTTGAGTGGGAAGGTATTCTTATTCCACTGTTAGTGCGCAATAAGAATATTATTTTCGTAACAAAGCTTCTAGAAATGTCGAGACTTTGGATATCGAATGAATGCCAAAATTTTGCAAAAAATCAGAAAACGCGTTCTTTTGAAGAGGTTTAAAGAGGATGCGAACATCGAAAATGATTTGAATTTGCGAGACGCAGTTTTTCTTTTGACTGTTACAGCGTTCTGAAGAGTCCTCTGCAAAAACGAGGTACACCGTTGTATTTGATAAGATTTGCCCTACTCGATAATTGTTGACTTCCTAAAAAAAATTTGGTAGTTATTTTGTTAGACGGAAGCAAATGAATATTCGAAATCATTGCCTTAAGAAGATAATTTCATAGGAACGTTAGCAATTATTCCAAAGCTTAAACTTTCGGCTAAAGCTAAACGTAGCCGGCTTTTGAATGTTTTCTTTTATAACGCCGTGAAATCAAATTGAAATCATGTTTCATGCGACCACGCGTTTTTATTTCTTATCTCGCCTATAGTTCGTTGAACAAAACACCTTACTCAGTGTGCTAGCACTTTTTCAATAGCACAAGTTTCAAAAAACTCAAAATGTGTTTGCCATTTGGAAAAGCTCTCTTGATAGTGCAGCAGAAGAAAGAAAAGTTTTGCCTCACAGATTGTCGGCCAGAGCCCTTTTTTTAGGCCATTAGTAATGATCGGATAGCGTAGGTTGCAGTGATTAAAGCGCTAAGCTTATTTTCAGTGAAAGACAGCTTTACTGCAGTGTAGCACGGAAAATAGATCGAAGTTCACATACCTCGCAACCTTGTTTACCGGCAATTCCGCCGGAGAGAAGGGGTGAGGCGACCGACTAGGTCGGGTTGGATCTGCGACATGTAACTTGTTTTCATTTGAAATTCTTCTTCGTTTTCAAAGAGAACTCCGTATGAAAACGATCGATTCAGATACTACGAAACTCTTTTCACACATTCATATGCTTTCTGTGCTTCCAGCGAATCATACGTATGAGAAAAATGAAGGCACGCCGAAGGTGTGAAACACAATGTTATTTCGATTTTGACAGCGTTATAAAAGGCTTTTTTGAAAAGCCGGCTACGTGAGGCTGCAGCCAGGGTTCTAAGCTTTCAAACCAATTTTTAATACTCTCTTGAAAAGTTCTTTTCAAGGGAAAGGGATGATCTGCTTTCCATTTGTCGTTCTCTGACATATAAGTAGCAAAAATTTTTTCGGCGAGAAATGCTTGAAAATAACCAAAATATTATTTTGACCGCTATAGCACAAACAACAGGTCATTTAAAAAGTAGAATCCATCGTTCAAATTCACTTGATTTTAGCTAACAAATGACTACTAAAACGTTTTACGAAAGCAAAAGAGCGTTTTCAGAAAAGGGCTCAAACGGGTTGGAGACAACGGAAAAGTACCGCTTTCACAATGCACTGTTTAGGTGCTGAACGCGGAGCAAAATTCCACGTAGAACAAGGAACTCCGTATAGACTCCGTCTCAAATTTTTCGTCCAGCGAGAAGGTGTTAAGGATTTGGGGTGGACAAACTGCTTTGTTTTTTAATGACATGCGGATGATTTACATTAGGCAGCACAAAGATGCATATTGAAATCGGAGATACGATTTTCGTGGCATTGATTCGAACAGAGAAAGAAAAAACCTAAAAAAGCATATCTTATGCGTCGCAGCAATGTGCGACTTCTTGATTTGTCGTGAGCATTTATACAATCTCTTTCAATGTTTACAGATATACTCAAAAAATCTACCACGGAATTCCAAGCCGTGTCAAAACATCTCTCCACTTTCTTGGAGATTACAAGGCAGGCAATCAGATTAGAACATTCACCTTTGAACCGGAATTGGCCCCAGAAGGTCAGAAGTGCGCTTCATTATTTGAAATAGACAACACTAACCAAATGAACTGATTCACTGCAATCAGTAGTGGATTAAAAAAAAAATAACGTTTTATTGCAGGCATTTTCCACCGAGGTAATTATTCCGTGAAATCCAAACTTTTCGATGGACATGGTATTGTGTGGCTGACTTGGAAATGGGTAGTAAAAGTTGTAAGGAAATTGTAGGCTCTCATCCCAACTATTTCCGACATACTCTTTCCTCTCATTCACACCACAAACTCGATGGCTGACGCAGCGCCTTTTCGCTTGTTCAGAATGAAGATCTACCATATTATATCATAATAGTTATTTGGCGACGTGATCGGGTGTTGTGATGCTCATGGCGGAGTGTGCGAACCAAACCTTGTCTCCAGCGGTCTTTAAAAATCACTAACGAACGCCTTATAAAGCGCCACAGACAAGCTATCCTCGCGATTGCAAGAAGATCTGCTCAACCAGTATTCTTCGGCGTTCAAGAAGGAGACGAAAAAATGAATTGAATATTATGTGGACTGAGATTCGCACTGGGAAATAAACGGATCAATAAAGTTAAATAAAACTTTTATGGCATACATTGTGAACATAGCAAAAATCCGATTCTAAATCATTTCAGGAGTGATATATTTCCTTTCGAGTGTTTCTTGAGGCCACTTTCAATAAATAAAATGCTTGACGGTCATTTTTAACTATATAACTAAGAGAATTGAGTGGTGAACAAAAACACGGCCTCAGGCGGGTATCGAACGTACGTTTCATCCTATCCGGGGACGCGTGCTCTACCACTACACCACTGAGGCACATTTGCCCGACCACTCATTCTTCATTTTCATTTAATTTGAAGTTTTTTTCATTTTTATTTTTCAATTTAGGGTCATTTTTAAGCTATACCTATTGTCTGTTATGGGCACTTATACGGTGCACTACACCTGTTTCGGGCTCCCAGTCTCGTCAGTTGCACTGTGCCTTTCGTTCAATCAAATTCTCGAGGACCTTTTCCTGACATAACTATCAGACACATTGTAATTTGAGCACGGTCTCAAGAAACACTTGAAGCAAAAATTATGATATTCTACAGTTACCATTCAAAAACAATTCAGTGTGCAACACTGCCCTTAGGTGACTTTATTACTTATCGGCACGTGTACCACGTTCTTTGACATATCCTTATGTAAAGGGATGGGGAGGGGGCACTGTGTTCAATGTGTATGTTATGTAATTTCTGAAATAATTTTTCTTGTTATCTTCTGCAGCAACACATAGTTTTGGTAATATAATCTGCTTTTAAGAGTCAATTTCCTAGTGTCTCTACAATGCATCATGTGAAGAGGAAACTTTCAGAGTTTTCATAATATGATATGCGCTTCTGTGATAATGGGCATAGCATCTATTAAGCTCTTTGCCGAAAATTCTACAAAAGGCAGAGAACAAAGGGCACGATAGTTTTGATCGTAGGTACACGACAATGAGAAACAAGCGATATTTTATTATCCTCTCTTAGACTTTTGAGACAACGAGAAATTTAGCTAATAAATTGAAAATTTCGGTCTCAACGGCGGCTACATCAGAATTGTAATCACCGACCTCTTCAAATTGCTTTGATTCTTCAGACTTTGCATGCTGTTCGCACTCTATGAACATGTAGTCTGTGATACACATCAACAATTAGAGTCAAACGAAAAACTCAGATGCTTATCCTGATGAGATATTGTGAAGTCTCTGCTACACTAGGCATCAAGTTCTCAACCATTTTTAAGAAGGGTTTCTGAGCATATCGATAAATTTCTGGAAATATTTCGGTTATAGAAAGATGAAGAAATGGGTAAGACGTATAGACATTATGGATATGCCTCACCATTCATCGTTTGTTTGGGAAACACGAAAACGTCCGCGCCCTTTGGTCCATCGAAATTCGAGTGATTCAATCATCTAAAATGTATTAACATAGGAATTAGGACCCTTTTTTATACATTATAAAGTACAATATGATGTATAAGCTTTTGAACGTAGATAAAATTATTCCACATTCATAAATCACTAATCGCTTAATGCATTTCTATTTGATACATACTGTAGCAAAGGTTTGTAGGTTGAATGCTCGCCTGCCACTCGGGCAACCCGGGTTCGATTCCCGGCCAATGCACCAAATATGGTGAAGGTTCAATGGTTTTGTTGTTTTGATCCGCTGCCAATTTGTATCTCCTAACGGACAAGAGGGAAGAGTTTAATTCCTTTATATGGATTATACCAAACAACCTATAATATACATGCATCATTATAACGATAATATAATAATATAAGCATGATCACGACATATCGTTATGCGAACATATGCGTAAGTCAATATGAGTGGCCGATTAATGAGAAGTATCAAGAAGAAGATACTCTGAATGTTATCGTAAGCGACAGTGTTATGGCAAGTGGTGTTATTGTAGTTGACGGTGTTATTGTAAGTGATAATGTTATTGCATGTGACAATTTTATGACAAGTGACAATGTTATTGTGATTGACGATGTTATTGTAATTGACGAAGCACGACTGAGCGACGGAGACCGTTTGGGGTTGCTATGTTTGCCCCGAAGTAGAAACACCGGCGGCAAGATTCAATGGGTAAGTATATAGTGTTAGCAGTGGGGTCACTACTGATTAGACATGGGCAGAATCCCTAAATCGCGGTGGTGGGCCGGGCATAGCCAAAGTGAGTTTGCTTCGCCACGGAGGTGCTATGTTCCGCTCACAGTTCTGTTGAATTCATCTGAGTTGTATGAATGCAACCTTATGAAAGCAATTAGTTACAAGACAACGAGATTGTGTGGAGACAGCAATAATGGATCGACAATGTACTGAGGTGAGGTGGCACGGGTGATGTCAGACGACCGTACGGATGATGCCCCGCGATCGAACTGACTGTTGAGGTTGGTGGCAGCTGGGTGCCGTACTCGTCACTTGGACCATTTCTGTCTAAGGTCCTCGAACTTCTGCGATACCACTTGCTCTCTAAGGTCGTGGACCATGTGCGTTGCCTAAATTATCATGTAATTCCCGAAAAGATAGCAAAACTCCGTTGGAAGATTTGCTATACATGCTTCGACACCCCATTTACACATCCGCATCCACATCCATATGTGTAGGTCATTGGATAATATCGTCCACACTCGAGGTAATTCTGATCTCTTTGCTAAAGCTGCCTTCTAACCATGTAAGTTATCTTCGTGTTAAGAGAGTTCGACATTGATAGTGCTGCTTATCAAAACAAACAAGGCGATGCTGTGAAACTGCTACTCTGCTTAGATGCAGTTACTCCGTATGTCATCGGCCGAACATCGGGAAATCTACAAGCTAATTTTGAGGGTCCATCTCTTGAAAAGCTTACAGCGATATTAGACTGGTTAAAGTGACGCTCCTAAATAAAATAGAGATAGCATCACACTGTTTCATGAGTTCAAACATGTAAATAAGACGGAAGGAGTCTAAGCTGTTATCGTCAAGACATGGACCAGGGATGCAATTCAGAAGACAACGTTACACGTCATTTAACAAACATCTTTTCAAACACTGAATTTGCGGTTGCAGCAAACGAAATCAGATGCAATGTGTATGTGAAGGTAAATAAGCCTACTCTAAATTGAATACCCCTATAAAGGTTAAAATGCAAGTTCACATTTTGTACAAAGTTTTAAGTGCTGCATATAACTCAATATTTTTTGATTTATAGTCATAACATCATACCACTGCTAAAAAGCTTTTAAACAACAAAAATCTGGTGGATTAAGTGCAATATTGATAAAGCTAGTAATTAGAAAGAATGACGAATTGATGACGCTATCCAACTTTTCATGCTCATCGTCATTATGAAGTTTACCTGTCACAGAAGAATCCATATAATTTTAAGCATCTTTCGACATAACTGAAACTCAAGTAGAAGAGAATGCGGACAGGTCCAAGGATCTAAACCTATGCTTGCTGAGCATGAAACTATGTTCAGTTTCCAATGAATGTTAACCATACGTTGGCAGAACATTACTCGCTTGGTTATAAATTTATGCATAAGAATCAGCTGAGGACAAGCTTTGTTGCAGGATGTTCGCGAAGACTGTCTACTCGGTAGCGATTTTTTCTTTGTTTTTGACACCCCGTGGAATCGTTAACTGTAAGCAGCACTTGCAATTGGGAATTGCTATGCTTTCGTTCAAGTTAATTTAAGGCATAGCTTACACATGTGCCTTGCCGTTTACGTGATCTCATTTTTGTGATCCAGATGATTTTACATTGATAGCGGAACAAGATAGGTCGGCCCCCGAAAGTATTGTAGAATGAATCCTATGAGAGTGCATCCGTTCTCGAGGACCATCACCAACACCTTGAGAGCACATGTTCTCTCAAAACTTCCGTTTTATTGATCATGTTTAATCGTACCCATAGATATTCTACAGATCACGATATGAAACTGTCGTCAGCCGCCGTGCACAAATCAAAACACCACGATGGATGACGATCGAGAAAAGAAGAAACTGATGAAAAATGTGCTGAGGTTCGCATAACTCGTGAAAAAAGATAGTCAAAGTATTCAAGTATCTAAGTAAATATGATGCAATATAATGTATTTTGGTGGTGCTGACCAACCATTCATCATGTCGCTAAGTATACGAGTTTCATAGGCCGACAATAAAGTAGCAATAATCTAAGACTGAAAAGTGGACACGGAGCACGATGTTTGTTTGTTCATTGTTTTTTGATGCTTTCATGGACTCGTCTCCAAAGCATTTATCTTCAGATCGCTTTCAAAACTAAGACTCTGTATTTCTTGGTCTATGGGACAAAATTTGCATAACCAGTGCAATGGGATGATCGCCTTGTTGAGGACGATCGTGATATCATGAAGGATATGTTAATTTTGTAACTCTTCCATTAGACGGCATGGAAGAAGAACCGACCTCTTCCACTGATTAACAGATTTTTATAAAAGTGTCACTAATCATTTGAAGATTAAATCTATGGTTATTGTGCACGTGCTCCTTTATTGAAAAAACCCATTCATTACGCTGGATCATTCAAAGTAAAATTATGTTTTATAGCCATCTAGCGTATTAGCCAGAGAAGCAAACTTTTGAATGATTGTTAACACTTATATAAAAAAAGCCTCCTCCAGCGAACGCGGCAGCTTTCTTCCTCTTGCACTCTCTAACGGAAAAGAACCTTGATTTTTATGAAATCTGACTTTTTGATGGTCAACGGATGCTATCAATGAAATGAACCGGAAAATATGCACAATAACAGCTTGATATTCTCCGCATGTAAATCGTTCGACTCTGACCATTCACCTTTCACATTAATGAGTTTCAACATCGCGAGTGTTTAACACGGTAGTCGTTAGAATTGCTGTGAAATCGTGACACATTGTCAAACTTCTTTTCAATATGTTCGCGATAATGATGTAAAAGGGATGACACTCTGATTAGAAAGTCAAATCCAGAGTGGCTTTAGCAGCCGGGAGCTTTCGTGATCTTTTTATTTTATTTAAACTAAAGGACAATTTTCGTATTTATAAATACAGTGGTCCCTTTCAGCACTATGATCAATACTCTGTGTGCATGTGATAAATCAAACTGAACCTTTTTTGAAAACTTCTGTTGACGTGATTGTTTCTATTGCAGCAGTTGTTAATCCTGCTGAGAACGACTGAACAAAATTCACTTATACACTACGGCGGACCAATTTCTAAAAGTTATTCATATCACGCAAGATTCTGCTGATGCGCCAAAGATTCGTTCTCCTGAGTTTCCAATGACTATAAACCTC